TAAGTTATGATTTCAAAATATCCACTACGTTTATGCTTACTTGCATGAAGTTTCCATTTGCAACCAGATTGTAAGTATAACTTGCATCTTAGAGTCCAAATAGTTGGGCATGAGTCAATGACCTCAAATTGTCTATGTGTCCTAATGCAATGGATCTTGATTGCTCTAATAAGTTCCTCTTTATCCTTGAAAGAATCCTTTTCCAACTCTCACGTAAAATCATTCTTACCCGTTGATTGTGACACAATCCAATTGAGATAAATATTCAAATTTGTTCCATCCATATTAGTAAAACTTGAAGGTACTTGAACATTGTTGTCAAAAGGTGCTTCTTCATCATTTTCATCTCCAATTGCATCTTCCAAATTTTCATTTAAATCAAGTTCATTGTCTATATTCATCATATTAGTTACAATAGCAGCTTGAGAGATTATAGAAAAATCATCATTGTCAATCATGTTTATAATAGAATTCATCTACAAAACAAATAAAAACAAACAAAAACTAATCAAAAACTGATAATACCATCTATGAAAACAAGCAAAAAGAAACAAAAACTGATCATATCATCTATGTCAACAAGAAAAAGAAACATAATGAAAGAATCAGAATCAAGAAAGAAGCAAAAATTGCAACCAATTCCATCTAAAAAACATAAAAAAAAACAAGCAGTGAAAAAAATCCATCTACAAAAAAAATCAAATAGAAGCAAAAATTGATCCTCAATTCGGTGGAGAGGGATTAGAATCAAGAAAGAATCAGGATGGAACAAATTAAACAGAAAAAACTAAAAAGAATGAGTAGGAAAAGAGGTTGCATACCTTGAAACCGACGACATGTTATGGAGAGGTCGGCGACCGGGGGAGGAGGCTGCAGGTGGCCGACAATGGGCGGAGGAGGACGTTGGCTAAAGAACGACGATTGAAGCCCTAGTTTTATTTTATTTTTACTTTATTTTTATTTTTTAACAATAATATTAGTTTTAAATTTAGAATAATACTAATAAGGTAAATATTTTTGAATATATACTTGAATGAGAAATAGTTTTGTCTATAACCCTATTATGGATAAAAACTTGTTTATGATGTGCAATAATATGGGACCTTAGGAAAAAAAAAAGTCCGACACTAATCTGATTATGTATGATTCTATTTTAGATTATTAAGATTGTAACAGAATATCTGGTTGGGATGGTGTGATTTTTCCCCACTTTTGACCTGTGTTCCATTCCTATTTACGGGTGTGCATTTGGACCGATGGATGAAACATACCAGACTTGGATCGACACCAGACCATTACCAATTTTATATTGTCGGATTGGTTATCAGTTCTTGGTTTTACACTATACATGTTTTGTTGGGAGTTCAATAAAACAATTTAAACAAGTTCAGACAATGATAAACGATTTCAGTAAAACACGTGTAAATAAAACTACAAATTTTAAAAACAAAAATTAACGATAATATTTAATGTGCTTCGATCAAAGTGACCTACGTGAACGGGGGAACAAGGGTGAAGGTTTTAGGGTAGGGTTGATTACTCAATCAAGAATCATTATTAGTTTATAATTTTATTAAGTTATCGATTATCATTATGTTTTTAATGCCAATAAATTGTCTAATCAATGACTTCCGAGCTCGACATCAATTATAACAATACATGATATGATTGTGAGTATCTTGCACTTATGATCAACGATATACATAAAATCACATGACATAGGCACACATTCGTTCCTTGACTTCCATAGCTTCACTTGGGATAAAATATATGATTGTTTGAAGATTACACATCCAATTATTTTAGCTATTTGTTTCTCGTTGATAAGTGCATTTTATGCACCTATTTTGCAAGTTTATTTCCGTCCTTTCTCAGCATTCTACTTCATAATTCTTGCATTTAGTTGATTATTCGGGCAATTTCATATTTCATCAAGAATGTCTAGTACTTCAATATTTTTGATTTATTTTGCAAGCATTATGGAGCGTGAAGCTTGGATGCATGGAGCATGAAGAAAAGATGAACCGGTCATTCCATGGTAGAAAACATGAAGACATAACCCGAGTCATTGTTGCATTGTCATCATAGCCAATGACTACGTTTGAAACGCGGTTCTTTTCACATTGACACGGGTCGTGTTTGTCCTTTATCATCTCATATTAAGCAACATGACTCGTGGTGAAGCTAGATTGAAGATGGATCGAACCCTGAAGACTTATTTGATTTTTAGCAAAAAGCATGGGCCATGCCAAAAACACATGGTCAAGACAAATGGCCATGCCAAAAACACATGGGCAAAAGGCATGACCATGCCAAAAACGCATGGCCTTATGGGAAGCACGTGAACATTAATTAAAAGAGGAGAAGACGTCATTTTTATGAGAGAACAGTTTTGGGACCAGTTTGGGGCGATTCTAAGAGATTTCTTGGAGCTTTTGAGAAGACCTAATCATTGAAAACACTTTTGATTTCATTTTAGTAAGCATTAAACATTTCAATTTCATATTTATTCTTGTTTGATTTGTTCTTACCTATGTGTGGCTAATAAACCATCGTTTCTAGTTCTTGTTCAAAACATGTTGATTGCTTGACTTGAAGCATATGATTTGATGTTTGATTTGTGATTCTATTCTAGTGATTATGTTTTTGTTTAAACTAGAATCCTTGAATTTGATTTGTGTTTGATTGGCCACTTTCATGAATTGAATTTTTGTGTAGTTAATTAACTTTTAGGGCACCTAATCGTTCTATTAAGTTAATAATTGGTAACAAGCAATAAATTTTCTTATTGTAAAACATATATCACATGTTTTCACACTTCCGAGCATATGAGAAGAAATGAACATTGTTGGGAAGCTTGTATAACACTTAATGCAGTTTTTCAATGCAATCTAAGAGTGTGTTTAGGTTGAATTAGTAAAGCTAGGTCTAGTAAAAGAGCATGTTTTGGTTAGATAATTTGGAAAGCGAGAGGTATTAGAGAGTGTTAATATCTTTTAGTACCAACTTAGAATAGCAATCATGAATTACATCAAGTCATAATCAAGTTGAACAGTAACATTGAGAACTAGAACTGGAAGTACTTTTACAATTTGTTTACGAATCTATTTTATTTTGTGCATGCTTTTAAAGTAGGTTGTTATTTAGTTATTTACTTTCGCAAACAAAACCCCTCCTTTGCGACTAAAGTACCTTGTGCAAAGAGGTATAGACTTTTATCTCGTGTCTCTGTGGTTCGACCCTACTTGCCTTGTACTACTTTTTAGTGCATTAAAGCAGTATATTTGGAGTCTGTTGTACCCCTATTATTTGTTGGGTTTGACACGCCTAACAAATTGGCGCCGTTGCCGGGGACACGATGTTACTAATTGTGCATGCTAATATCTCTTCGTACATGTGCACCATTACCAATTAACATAGATATAAAGAAGACTGCAAAGAGGTTATGGAAGCAAGCCAAGCTTCGTAAAAGGCAACCAGGTTCCAGGACTTCTTCATCATCTACACCTTCGGTTATCAACAATTGGGAGCACATACCCCTCTCAAGTGTGTCAGAAACTGAAACAGAAAACTCATCATCATCATCTCAACCATCCTTACCTAGAAGTATCACTCCACCCACTTCACCAACTCATAATATCCCAAACACTACAACCACAGAAACTTCAACCACTACTCATACCATGGAGGGAATCCACCTCCAAACCCACCACCCGAACAAACCCTTCATCAATGGGCGAGGCAAGAGGTTACTCAACAACCTCTTTGCATCACCTATCCGGCAACCACAAATCTTGAACTAAAATCTGGACTAATTCACCTACTTCCAACCTTTAGTGGTCTTGAAAATGAAGATCCTCACAAGTTCCCTCACCGAGTTTCATGTTGTGTGTTGGCATGAAACCACACAATGTCATAGAGGACCAAATCAAGCTTAGGGCATTCCCCTTCGCAGTGCAAGATGCATCAAAAGATTGGCTTTATGACCTTCCACCGAGGACGGTCACCACATGAGTAGATCTTGCACGATTATTTTTGGAAAAAGTACTTTCCTGAGATGAAAGCTTCAGCCTTGAGAAGGGAGATCATTGGAATCAAGCAAAACAAGAATGAAGCATTGCACACATATTGGGAAAGATTCAAGAAGTTGTGCACTCGATGTCCGAAGCATGGTATATCCGAGTATAACCTTCTTCAATACTTCTGTGAAGGCATGTTACCATGGGAGAGACGACTCAATGCTTCAAGTGGAGAGTCAATTGTTGACAAAACTCCAACAAAAATTCGGGTGTTAATCAAAAACATGGCTGAAGATTCCAAGCATACTCCTCATGAAGATAATTGGTACATGGATCCACCTCGAGGTATAAAAAAGGTGCACACTCCTCAAATCGAAGCTCAACTATCCGAGCTAACAAAGGTGGTAATGATGCTTGCTAAAGACAAAAGGTGTACAATCCACACCCCGTCCTTGTGGTATTTGCACTCAAGTGGGACACCCGACCGATATGTGTCCTCAATTGCAAGAAGAAGATATGAAGAAGCAAATGTAATGGGAGGCTACTCTAGGAATAATCAAAGAGCTTATGATCAACCCCCGAGACAATCAAGGGTGGACCCATAATCAAGGCATGCGTTATCAACCAAGACAACCATCTTCATACCAACAAATGCCATCATTTCAACCTCAGAATTTCCATCCAAGGCAGCCACAACATCCACCTCAACAAGTAGGTTCATAAAGTATGTCCTTAGAGGACATAGTGAAGAGTATGGCTACTAGCACTCAAACCTTTCAAAAAGAGACAAAAGCAAGCATCAAGAACCTAAAGCAACAAATTTCACAACTTGCCACTTCGGTTAGTAGGTTGGAATCTCAAGGAAAGTTACCTGCCCAAATTGAGACAAACCCAAGGCACAACGTATGTGCTATCACATGGAGAGGCAGAAAGAGCTATGATGGCCAATCAATATTGGTTGATCAACAAAAAGAAGAAGATATGTTAGTGGTGAAGAAGTCGAGTAATGAGGAGGAAAATAAAGAAAACTCCAACTTAAAGAAACCTGTCACCACCGAAGTCAAATACCACTCCTTAATGCCATCATGCAAATATACTCCAGTCGCTCCATTTCCCGAAAGATTGGTGAGCATAAAGAAAGAACAAGAGGAGAGTGAGATCATGCAAATGTTTCGGAAAGTTCATGTAAATATACCACTCCTTGATGCCATCAAACAGGTACCTAGATATGCTAAGTTCATAAAAGAACTTTGCATATCTAAAAAGAAACTTAAAGGTAATGAAACAGTAAAAGTTAGTGAGAACATTTCAGCGGTTTTGCAAAAGAGGATGCCCTCGAAGTGCAAGGATCCTAACATTTTTACTGTGCCTTGCAAATCGGGGATTCTTCATATACCTCGAGCTATGCTTGCTTGACTTGGGTGCATTTATAAATGTCATACCATACTCTGTTTACAAATCAATTGGTGTAGGAATATTGAGTAAAACCGGTGTAATCATTCAACTTGCTGACCGGTCGATAGTACACCCAAAAGGTGTACTTGAAGATGTGTTAGTTCAAGTCAATGAACTTGTTTTCCGAGTTGATTTTTATGTTCTAGATATGGGAGATGATGACTCTCCAAATTCAAGTTTCATACTTTTGGATAAACTTTTTTTTGCAGCAGCAAAAACCAAAATGTCTACAATTGAACTTTATCATTGGAATTTGATGGGGGAGATCGTTAACTTCAATATTTTTGAAGAGAATAGGAACTTTGATAATTGTTGAATCGTTGCAGAAAAATTGAATTTAAAATTGAATTTCACATGTTTAAGAACTATTGTTGAATCGTTGGCTTCGAGTGTCTTATTTCAGAAATTTTATGAGAATTTAATTTCTATTCTATCAATTGTATTTATAATTATAATTGTTCGGAATTAAATTTTAATTTTATCCAAATCTTATAAAATCCCACAAATGAAATACTATTTGAAGAAAAAGTAATATTTAAAACTTAAATTTACTTATTTCAAGTCCTTGTATCTCGAAAAATCAAAATGAAAAAAATAAAATAAATTTTACGACCAAAAACTTGAATAACAATTTCTCAGTAAAGACATATAACAAACACATGACGCCCAACGAACGACCCACAACAAAATTCTGTTTTCGTTTAGATTTAGATAAATCATCAGCGACATCCATCCATAAAAACCCTTCAACCTTCATCAAAAATATCCCAAATTTCTTTCCCCCAATTCCAAATTCCGTGTCCCGATTTCAATTTCATCAGAAAAATCAACACGGAATTTGGAAAGAAAACCCTTTTTGACCGGTTTGAATCTTTCTTTCAAGGTTCCATCAAAACCCACGTTCTTGATTTGTTTTTTTCAACTCCAATTTTCATTCCTTTTACAGGAAAGATTTGAATAGCCAGACACGTAAATGGAGATCGATAAAGCAATCAGAGAGAGCAATGATCAAAAGCTGAAAACCAAGTATAATAAAGCCGTCAATGTTATTCAAAGAGCTCTTGCTCTTTACCCGTAAGTTTCACTTTTACATGTTCGATTACTAAGATTATATTTTGACGTTTTAGGGTTTCGTTTTAGTGAAACGATTTGGGTTTTCTAGAGATTTGATTCTCGTTGACATTGTTTCACTTATCAGTATTGAAGAGGTTGCATTTAGCTTCAATGGCGGAAAAGATTCAACGGTAAGTTTTTGTTATTATCCGCGATCATAATCATCTAAAAAACCCCATTTCTTCAATAATTCCCAACAATCATCTTTCCTCCTAGGTTCTACTCCACCTTCTAAGGGCAGGATTTTTTTTACATCAAGTCGATAATGGTCATTCAAATGGCGATCTATCTACTCACGCATCCACATTTCCAATAAGAACAATCTATTTTGAGAGCCCTTCTGCCTTCCCTGAAATCAATTCCTTCACTTACGAAACAGCCTCTAGGCAAGACATTATCTACAATCAATTCAATTATCTTAATGTAATCAATCAATTATATATGTAATTCATTCTTTTCGTGTAGTTATGGTGTCCAATTAGATATCATACGCCAAGATTTCAAGTCAGGTTTAGAGGCGTTACTAAAATCCAAACCAACAAGAGCCATTTTCCTTGGTGTTAGAATCGGTGATCCCACTGCTGTAAGCCATACTTCTTATCATGTTATTCTTCTAAAGATAATAAAAAACTTGATATTTTTCGAATATGTTCATAAAAACTGAAAAAGAAAATGTTGACTTTTTGAAGGTGGGTCAAGAACAATTCTCTCCAAGCTCACCTGGATGGCCACCTTTCATGAGAGTTAATCCAATCTTGGATTGGTCTTACAGGTATTTCAATCACAATTCATAAACATGCCAAATTATGAAGAATGGCATTTTCGTAATTTCCTTGATTTTCTATGGCAGAGACGTGTGGGCTTTTCTTTTGACTTGCAAGGTTCCATACTGTAGTCTATACGACCAAGGGTAATTCATATCTTATATTTTCAAGAATTCGCTTTATGAGATTAAAAAAAAAAAAAAAAAAAAAAAACTTTTTTATATGTGTTTACAGGTATACATCAATAGGAAGTGTTAATGACACAAGTCCAAATGCATTGTTATGCATTAAAGATTCTGGTAAGGAAAAGTTCAAGCCTGCATATATGCTTTCAGATGGAAGATTAGAAAGAGCTGGAAGAGCCAAAAAGTTACCTCAAAAAGTCAAAGATGGAGTCAAAGGTTTGGAATCACATCAAGAAAACACCCCTTCAGCCTCAATCATAGCAGTTGGTGATGAAATTCTGTAAGTTTCTTGATTATTATTATTCTTATAATTTGTTATGTGTTGTTGACTGATGTTTATGATTTGACATAGCTCAGGTCTGGAAGGGTGGAGGATGAATTAAGACATTTGTTGTGTAGGAAGCTTCATTCTATTGGTTGGAATGTTTCCCATGTTGCTGTTGTATCAAGTGATGTAAGTTGCATATGGAAATCTTGAAATAGTGACGTAAAGAATTACTGAATTACCCCTGAGTTGACAGTTTATTTGTTCTATATAGGTAGATTCTGTAGCTCAAGAAGTTGAAAACCAAAAGTCTACAAGTGACATGGTATGCCATTTATTACATGTAAATGTGTAAATTTTTATTTTTTATTATATGAAATTGGTGAAATGAAATGTTAATAAATAATAATAATAATAATAATACAGGTTTTCTTATATGGAGGAGTTGGTCCATTACCTTTAGATGTTTCCATTGCTGGAGTTGCCAAAGCTCTTGGTGTTTGTTTGGTGAGTCATTTACATTTTATTTTCTTTTTATTTTATGAAATGTGTAATTTAGGATTTTAATTTTGGAAATGTAATATAATAATAATAATAATACAGGCTCCCAATGAAGAATTTGAAGAACATCTTAGGAATTTATATGGTGAAAAGTGGAGTGGGGACTCTAATGAGGTATAATAACTGGAATATTGAAATTTTAATTTTAATTTTTTTAAAAAATGTAGTAATAACATAATAATACAATTTGTTTTTGGATTTTATATATTTTGCAGATGGCTAAGTTGCCAGAAGGTGTAACAGAATTGTTGCTACATGAAAAGCTTCCTCTTCCATTGGTAATTAAGTTTATTTTTAATAAAAATTCAAATTTGATGCTTCAAAAGGTTATAATAATGTGTGTGTGTGTGTTTTACAGATAAAGTGTGGGAATGTAATTGTTTTTTCTGCAACAAATGTGAATGAGTTTGACCAACAATGGGATGCTTTGACCAATTCAAGATTGTTAGCAACAACAGGATCATTTGTATCTAAACATTTCACAACCTTCCTCTCAGATGTATGATATGAATGTGTTTCATTAGTCAACTTTACAAAAGTCAAACTTTTGGTCTTTTTAAAAAAAAAATCATATTCATAACTCCAAATTGTGTTTGACTTTGTAGATAGAAGTTGCTCAGCCTCTTTCCAAGCTTTGTTTTGAATTTCCAAATGTCAACATTGGTAGGATTTAAGAATCCTTTTTAATTATCTTTCAAAAATCATATCATTATCTTTGTTTCTTGATTATTTTTTCTGATATTTTGTTTTAAAAAAATGAAGGATGTTATCGCAAATCAAGAACAGGGCCACTCACAATAACTTTGGAAGGGAAGGTAATGACCAATGACTAATGACTAATGAGTTTGAACAACTTTTTTTTTAATAAATTTGATTGAATAATGAATGTGACACAAGTTATTAATTTCAATTTCATGTTTTACTTTGTTTATAGGATGAAAAGATGGTAGAAGCAGCCATGGAAGCAGTTTCAACAAGATTATCATCACAATAATTTTGATCAGAAAATGTTTGAAGGAAAAAGAATAAGTGATGGGTGAAAGAGAGAAAACAAGTGTATATGGATAATTAACAAAGCTATTATACTTCATTAGAATTTGCAAACATGTTAGGATGAAAAATACATCATTTTTTTTGGGAAAAATTTGAATTACGTGTTCATGTTGTTATTGTTTTTGGTTTGTATTTTGTTATGTTGGTTAATGATTAATCCATGTATAACTAATCTACAATGAGGTTAATTTGAGAAAAAACAATGTATTTTTCAAAATATAGATAAATATTACGGCATTATATTTATTACTTTATAACAAGATGGTATAACTAAATCTGTTTTTTCTCTTAATTGATAATATAATTCAATTTTAAGAAAACATGTATTGAATAATATAAGTTATCCCAAATTAATTGAATAAAAATTACCAAAAAAAATACAAGTCAAAACATCAACAAATATTTGGTTTTTAACTTTTTATCGGGATCTTCTAATTATTTAGGCAAAGGTTAAAATAGCCTACCACGGATAGAAGGCAAGAAAGAAATTAGAGTACATTGAACATGGACAATACAGAAGCAGCAAAGCAAATCAATCTCCATGGCAACCTCATCACTGCATCCAACGATGAAAATCTAACAAACATTTTTCACCGAATCAGAACTTCCAAATCCCCTGTATGGATCTTCACTCCTAATTTTCTTTCAAAGATAAATTCAATTCATCCTCTTCACTAGTTAAACAATCTCTTTCTTGATTTGTTTATCGCAGGCGGTGATCAACTTCGGTGCATCATGGTAATTCTTTGAAATCCAATCTATTAGATATATTCGTACAATTCAACAATAGATCGCTACAATCACACTTTTAAACTTTTCATTTTTGTATTTTGATTACGAAACCAAACTTGAAGACAAGGTGTTCGATGAAATGCTCAAATGAAAAATAGAAACAAAACTTGAAGACAAGGTGTTCGATGAAATGCTCAAATGAAAAATAGACCAATATATTTTGTTGTTTCTTTTACAGGTGTCGTGTTTGTGCAGAGATACTCCCTTCGTTTAACCAATTAAGCAACAAGTTCCCAAAACTTTCATTTGTGTATGCAGATATCGATGAATGCCCAGAAACAACTCAACATATTCGATACACACCCACTTTCCACTTCTATCGAGATGGTGAAAGAGTCGACGCCATGTATGGCGCCGGTCAAGAGAGGTTACACGACCGTCTCTGGTTACACTCCTAATTTTAAATAAATTAAACTTTAAGGGATGTTTCTTAATGGCTTAATAGCTTAATAGGTTATCACTTAATTTGGACAGCTATATATGTATGTTCATTTTTTATTTAATCTTGGACAAAATACTCAAAGGTTAAACCAAAAAAAACCAAACTTAATGTATTAAGACACTAACATTTTACTTTGGAAGGTTTGGGAAGATGGTCATTAGGGACTCTTTGATATGTTGGATTTGATTAAGTCAATAACTATCAAACAACATTAAATCTAATTAAGATTGATTATTCAGTTTAGAAAAGAAACATAATTATTGTTTTTGGGTGTGTTTAGTGATATTATTACAGGTTTTTGAAGCTAAATTCATAATACACAACAAGAACATAACTTCATAAATTTTTTTAGAAATTTTCTATTCCAATGACAAGTATATATCACAAAAAAAAAAAAAAAAAAAAAAAAAAAAAAAAAAAAAAAAACACAAGTAAAAACATAACAAAAGACAACGAATTGTAATGAAGAAACACAACATTTGACAAAAGCAATCGAAGTTTTGTAATATTCCACTGCCCTCCTCCAACTTCAAACTCTATATCTTTATTCCCCATTTCCACTCCAAGGGCAAAAGTGTCATTCCATCCATCTCCCAGTATACTCATCATTTACTCACCATTCACGCCTTGGGCTTAAGAACCTTCGGAGTCTCCCAGGTAAAATCAGGATCTTCACGACCAAAATGGCCATAAGCCGCAGTCTTTTGATACCTAAAATTACCACCTCTCTTCAAATCAAGATTAATCGACATCATCCCTGGCCTAAAATCAAAATTCTCCTTAATCAAAACAAGAATATCTTTATCCGGAATCTTCCCAGTTTTATACGTGTCAACAAACACAGACAACGGCTCAGCCACCCCAATCGCATAAGAAACCTGAACAATACACCGCCGTGCAAGTCCCGAAGCCACCACACTCTTGGCCGCTTGCCTCACAATATAAGCCCCACTCCGGTCAACCTTCGTCGGATCCTTCCCGGAGAAAGCACCACCACCGTGGGCTCCCCACCCACCGTAAGTATCAATGATAATTTTCCGGCCAGTGAGCCCTGCATCACCGTGGGGACCACCAATCACAAACCGCCCAGACGGATTCAGATGAAAGATGGTTTTTTCGTCAAGGTATTTAGATGGGATCACCGGTTTAATCACGTGTTCTTTAAGATCTTTAGCGATTTGGTCGTTTGTTACAGTTTCGTCATGTTGGGTGGATATAAGCACTGTATGAACCCTAATTGGAACCATGGCGCCATTATCGTTTTTATATTCAACTGTTACCTGTGTTTTTCCATCGGGGCGTAGCCATGAACAGGTTTTGTTCTTTCTGACTTCGGTTAATTTAGCTCCTAGTTTGGTTGCGAGGACATGGGTGAGTGGCATCAGCTCAGGGGTTTCATCGGTGGCGTACCCAAACATGTGTCCTTGATCACCTGCACCGATTTCTTCTGGTTTCTTGCTGAGGTGACCATGGACGCCTTGAGCTATGTCGGGGCTTTGTTGCTCGATGTTCACTAGGACTTTGCAGTTGTCAGCATCGAGTCCGACTTCGGGAGATGTGAATCCGATTTCTTTGCAGGTTTTACGGACGATTTTCTCGTAGTCGACTTTGGCTTTGGTTGTGATTTCACCGAAGACCATGACCATGTTGGTTTTGGTGCAGGTTTCACAGGCGACTTTGCTTTCGGGGTCTTGTTCTAGACATGCGTCTAGAATGGCGTCTGAGACTTGATCACAGAGCTTGTCTGGGTGGCCTTCGTTCACGGATTCCGATGTGAATAGGAAGGTTTCCATCTCTGTGATAATAAGAGTTCAATTAGCAACGAATGAAACCCAGGCAATCTCTTCACATGAATTTTGAACGAATGTATCACATTAGGATCATTATCGAAGTGAGAAACTAATCGGACAGTTTACCTATCACAGAATTCATTAAATCATCTGTGGTTTTGCTGTGGTTTAAGCGCTATACCACGAAATACAACAGCTACGACGTTCGATTAACAAATTTAGTAGAAGAAAGTATATGAAACACATAGATCTACTCCGAAAAGAGACTATTTAACATAATCGTACTTCAAAATTCCTGAAAAATGATCGAACAGAATGCTCATAATGTACAGAGATCTCGCTCTTCGAATCAAACTTCAACAATTTCTAAAGCATCAGAAAGAACAGTTTATCAACGTGATTGACCACTTATTAATTTTAAATCCATAGACAAAAACCTACGAGAGATTTCCACAATCGACACTAACAAACCGCAAATTCAGGAAATAGAAAGTTGATTATACGGATCAAAAATCAAATTCAGAATATAAAAACGCAACTGAATCGAACAATAGCAGCAAATCGAACGTACCTTTCTTTGATCGGGATCTGTAGAGATATGGGGAAAAACGAGAGAGAGAATGAGAGATGGATGGTTTGAAGTGAGTGGGGAAGTTGTGTGAATTTATAGGTGCGGATGTGTAGGAGATGCGCGAGTGACTCGCTCTGTAACTCGGGGCGAAGGTGGTTTATGAGGTTGTACATGATGGATAAAAGTTTGTACATGGCGAAACCTACCACATCCCTATGGTGGAACCCTCACCAACCCCTCAACCTCTTCGTGGGGCCCTTTCACCAACCCTTACCACCTTCGTTTTCCCTTCCCTAACAATCATATTTACATGGTTACATTAAAATCTCACCTTGGAGCAAAATTAGATCGGTTGTTCTATGTAGGTCCCAATTTCGTTGTCCATTAGACTAACCATCGGATTCTCTATCATGTTAACTCCTCAATCCTCATACGTGATGCTCTTAGGGTTTGATCAAACCATCCCTAATCATCCTTTTGAGCTCTCCAACTTCGATACTAATCATCTTAATCACCACAATGTTAGTGTAGGAAATAAATTCTTTGACGTACATGCTAATCGTCTCTATGGTTTGCATCATGACTTCTTACAATTGAATCTCTGTTTGTAGAGTTCCATGTTTATTTATTTTATGGTTTTTATTAGAGGATATGATAACATCTTCAATATAAAGATTCATCATGGTGAGATTTTGTTAGATGCACTTTATGCATCTTTTAGAACGTATATTTGGTGTTTTTGTTATGCATGTTAGATTTGAAGTCATGCATTTTCGATAAAGATGTGATGTTTGTGGTTTTCGGTAGAATTAGGCCATTTGTATGGTTTGAGCTGGTGTGTAGGAACATTTGAAGGTGGAAACGTGCTTAAGAAGGTGCTAGGAAGCTTCGATGTCAGTTTCACGACGATAAAAAAAAATCAAAAACGTCAAAAAAAAAAACGAGTGGGTATTGGTTTCTGGTCTGATACATGGGCCTTGTTTTATTAGGCTTTAAAAACATAATCTTGTTTTTGGAGATCTTGAAAATCGGATATTGTCACTTAAAGAAAACATTAGGTGTGGCGCTACCTTATAAAACCGTAGTGATATGTAGGCGCCACCTCACCCATTACCACAAAAGTATGGTTTCATGCCATACCCAAGGAGTGGTGCCACACTCCTTTAAATTATTTTTATTTTTTTAAATAAATAAAATTTTTAGTTTTAAATAAACACAAAATATTTCATTAATTAAATTTAAAAACCGTTACACTACTTAACAAAATCCTAGGAAATTAGAAATTAAAAAACTAGAAAGCTTAAACGTACAACTTAAAAAAATCAAATAATTAAAACTTGGAAAACAACTACAAATTGACCATGATTAGTGTAACGTTTTTTCACGTCTTCCTTCATTTGCAAAACAACTTGAAGCGCATCCCCGATCAAATTTGACGTGTCCATCGATAACAATCTCAGGTCGCTATTCCTTTGTTTCCAGCTCTCTCTATTCGAAGCAAGTTGCAAAAATTAATCCATTCTATCTTTTATGTCTTGCACATTATCGCCTATTTCTTTCAAGTCATTCGATTCCGACGATTTGTCATTGCCTTTGTTTTTTGTTTTGTCCATTCCCATTGGTCGGGGTGGTGGAACTTGAACGAGCTCATCTTCGTTGAGGTCGAAACCAACACGAGCATCCGATGAAGTGTGTTCCGAGTCGGAAGTTCTTGACCGTTTTGATCCGCTATCGATGTGCTCGTCGCTTGTTTTCAGGGTTTTCCATTGTTTGTTGCGTTTTAGTAGATTCCAAACTTCAAAAAACTTGAAAGTTTTCTTTTTCTCTTTTTGATAAATGTTAAAAGCTTTCTCCAAAACCACTTCGTCACTTTCATCACTTTTCCATTGCCGTTTCATGTTATATAAATCATTAAACAACATCACATCTTTGTTCATCTTTCCCCATTTTGAGTACACATGATGTTTTTGGTTCCTTTATGTAAGTTGAAAAAACGATATGGTTCCAAGTTCATTCCTTTATGGAATCGAGTTCTAACACGCATCCAAAAACGATCATATTTTTGGTTTTCTCCCGTCTTCGCGTCATTTGAAATGTTAATCCATGATTTTGCTAATACCAATGTTCTAAAAAGCTCGCCATGGCGCCAAAGCTTGTGACTGACGCCAAGCTTTACCAAAAGGTCGTCTTAACTTATATATGTGTATAAAATAGAATAATAGTTGAAATTACATATAAAAATATTAATTATATACAAAATTGCCACCTCAAGTCACGCCTTACAAATGATGTGGCTCGCCAATGCTCGAAAAAACTTGAGGCTTTACATTGCCGTCAAGTCACACCTTACGTTATTTAGAACCTTGGCTAATACTAACTCTTTTTGAGGTGACCACGCTTTAGCTTCCGATTTCTATTTTCCTTTATTTCCTGGTTGAGAGGGTTGAGTTTGTGGAATAAATTCTGGTTCAAATTCTGAAATGGGTGTTTGTGGTTGTGATTGTGTTTCTGTAATAGACTTTGGTTAGGAACCAAAATCAAAATGATCAAAATCTTAGTCAAATTGTGGTTGTGTTCGTGGAAATGGTTGTGTAGGACGTGGTTGTTGGATATGTTGTGGAAAATAGAGAACCATACCCCCATAGTGGTAGAAAGGAGGTGAATAAATCGGTTCATTGAGTGAAGGTCTTGGAGATGTGGGTTTTTTGGCGGGTGTTTTTTCGTTGGTTGGATTCCTGGAGGATGACATTTTTTGTCAAGAGTCGGAACTTTGTCATCATCTTTGTGCATATTGATGGTGCCCGCGATCAATCGATGAATCAAATGGTGAATGGGAGAACAAATTCTTCCCTCTTGAGCCGCCGAGAGAATATAGACCCGATTTGCTATAGTATTCCACCATGTGGAAGCAACCGTACTTTCCGGTAAATCCTTATGGCAGTGATCAAGGAAAGCGCTAAAGGGCCCAGTCATGACCACATTTGGTCATAAATGTCCATCCTTCACCCAAGCTCTACAATGCTACAATGGCGGACTTCCCCACCAAGGTAAAATGTTCGGGTTGTAAAAGTCATTACCCCCATGGAAAGTCATATTAGAGAAAAATTCCCAACAAAGTTCTTGGTACACCAGTTCTTGTATCCTAAATAGCCGGATCCACCCATCACAAGTAATGGAAGTCCTGTTGTGCATAAACGTCTTGACCAAATATGGGGTCATGTCTTCTACCAATCTAACTTACCCCATCCATTCCCAATTTATTTCATTTGGGACATATATCTTCTTCTTCTTTAGTATTTCCAGCTTCTTCTTTGCCCGAACAACCGACGATTTTGAGGTTATTTGTGAAAAACTCAACTAAGGAATGTCTTCGTGGCTGCCTCCCGAACTTTGGCCCCTCATTGACATTTTCTGTAAAATAACACAAGACAAAACAACACCAAAATACCACAGAAATGTTAAAACAAATAAAATTTAGGCAACTGCAGCATGGACTCGTCAAGTCCATGAACGGACTCGACAAGTCGGAAGAACTGTCCGAGTCGTCATACTAATTCGTAACTATTCAGCCATGAAAACCCAAAAATTATTCTAGGGGTTTGTTTAGGGATGCATATCAAGTGTTAATTCACAAATTTTTTTAACCATAACAACCTAATTTGGCCAAAATTGAAACCCTAGAAATGGAGTAAATTTCAAAACCCGGTTT